AGGATCTGACGTTACTGTCTATGTACTTCTTTTATTAATGTATTCATCCGCTAGTACGCTGGCCATGCACCTGTTCAGCAGCCCCCCCCCTCCCCTTACTCACCGTTTAAATTGTCTCTCTATTGAACTACTCGCCATGTTTACAGAAAGGAGTATAAAAAAACGGAAAGAAATAATTTTCTTTCCTTTTGTCAGCAACACTTTTTTCACTATTAAAAAAATAATAATAATAATTTTCATAATAATTACTTAGTGGGTGATATAAGTATAAAATCATCAAGTTTCATAGTTTTGCAGAATCATAAATACTAAATTTTGATATATTTTTATGTAATAACAAACAACATGAAATAAAGCCAAATACATTGTCTTTATTCCTTTAATTTGAAAAAAAGAAGGTTTGACAAGTGAAAATTTTATAGACAATGCCAAGATAGATTCAGTCAGATCCTAGTTATTACGTCTCTTAGTCACTGCATTGGCACTGATATGCTTCACTGGCAATGGGGCATTTAGAGGGGACCAAGACACAATCCCCTGTTCTATGTCCCAATTCTTGACACTTTTGAGGACAAGTTAACCAAACTGTGCCAGACAGAAACTTGCTCCATCTGTGGAATAAATAACATATCGTTCTGATTAAGCATTTGGTGAAGCAAAGAGGTCAAGTTATGTAAGAAGAAATGTTAACTATAGATAAGTGAGGTTAAAGTTCATGCGTTGTATTTTTCGTCATTCGATAATGTGTACACACCATCCTACTGATCCCATATGTATCACAACCCACTGATCCCATATGTATCACAACTCACTGATCCCATATGTATCACAACCTACTGATCCCATATGTATCACAACCTCCTGATCCCATATGTATCACAACTCACTGATCCCATATGTATCACAACCCACTGATCCCATATGTATCACAACCCACTGATTCCATATGTATCACAAACTCCTGATCCCATATGTATCATAACCCATTGATCCCATATTTATCACAATCAACTGACACCGAATGTATCACAGTTAAGTTGCATTATAAGATTTCACACATTTACATACGGGTCGTCTAAGACTATAGGAAAACACATATTTATGAAGTAGTAACGAAAACAGTTTTATGGTTTAGGGCCACCACAACGCGAGGAACTGTATTAAAGTGGTGCGGCTTTAGGAAGGTTGAGAACCACTGCGTTTGATGAACCATACATAACAAAGGACTGAAAACCCGTATATAAAGAAAATAAGATGTCAAAGCTAGTGACAGTTGAGGCGACTACACTTGACAAATTTGCGAGTATTGCCTCCTGTCTTCCAACCCCCATCTCATAATACCATTGCTGGGTAACCCTTGCAACCACTGAAGTATCCCCTTCTAAACCATGCACAGTAACATCGCGAACACCCCTGAAACATAGGAGCCAGAGTGATCAATTCATTGATCGTCGGCCCTCAAAATATAGAAGAAGGAGAAGATTAACAATATTCAATTTAATTATAATAGTAAGTTAGTAAGTATGTATACAAATACAAAATCATATATACATTGCTGGGTCACCCTTGCAACCACTGAAGTATCCCCTTCTAAACCATGCACAGTAACATCGCGAACCCCCTGAAACATAGGAGCCAGAGTGATCAATTCATTGATCGTCGGCCCTCAAAATATAGAAGAAGGAGAAGATTAACAATATTCAATTTAATTATACTAGTAAGTTAGTAAGTATGTATACAAATACAAAATCATATATACATATATACAAGACTACATAAACCTACAGCCCAAACAGGGAAAAACTACAAACTATAAAGGTACATATTTTAACAAACACAAACAGCGAAAAATCTACTAAGACTTGTAAGGCTCCTATTAGTCTTATAAGTCTGTTGAGCCTTCCGGTCACAGTCGACCGTCAAATTTATAGTGAGGGCGTCAGAATTCTCAAAAACAGACAGTCTAGAAATTCAATCGCAATATATTATTTAATATAAGTAAAGCTACGTTTATTTATTGATCAAAATAAATGGAAACAGTTTGGATTACATTTTAAATGTTAATTTTCAGCATATAAATAAATACATATTTATAGGAAGACACTATTTTACAGTTATAAAAATTGAAACACGAGACATCTTAAGTATTTATTCATCTATGAAGTATAATTTATACACTTCTGGAAATGTAAACAAACTTTCCCAATCAAAGGTTGGCGGGGAAAATAAGTGTGCCGTGTCAATTGGTGACGTCAGTAACAAAGCAAAGTGAGAGTTAATGTTGGATGCCACGGCTAGAGGTGAAAAAACTAAGTGAACACACAGGCTATAACTATCACAAACCTTCTCTACTCCATCTTCTGTATGCATCAAAACCCCAACTCCTCCGCAAAACCGCAACCTCCATCTCCCGTCTGTCTTACATCTCACTCTTTCTTCTTCTTCCTCTTATGCCTTTTTACCCTGTGTGGGGCATAGGCCGTCCATAAGAATTTTCCGTTCATCACGGTCCTGTGCTTTCCTTTCCAGTAGTTTCCAGGTTTATCCCATACATTGCGTTTCTGCCTCTAGCTCGCGTCTCCATGTATTCGTTGGCCTTCCTCTCTTTCTTTTTCCATGTGGATTCCATTTTAGGGATGCTATATGTTTTTCCCCGGAGTACATGCCCTATTCACCTCCATCTTTTCTTAATTAATGGGCAAATGGTATGTCTCTTCTAGTAGATATTTATTGGTGATGGTAATTGGGCATTTGATGTTCAGGATCTTTATACGTCATGTGTTTATGAAGGTTTGTACTTTCTGCGTAATGCTCGCTGTTGTTTTCCAAGTTTCTGCTCCATGCAGTAAGATTGTTTAGACGTTTTGTGTTAAAGATTCTGACTTTAATTTGCAGCTTAACCTCCTTCGGCTTCCATATTTCCTTTAATAGCACAAAAAAGGTCACCCAGCCTTTCCAATTCTAGCCCTAATCCCGGCTAAGTCAATCCCCACTAATCCAGTATGACGTAAGTAACAAACCCCTACTAAAAAAAATGGGGTCAAAAAAATGTCCGATGGCCTAAATAGAACAGGGTTCGCTTAACATACACGCAACCGCCACCTCCACATTTCCCAAAAGACTTAATTATTTTGGTTACAAATATTTGCATTATAAATATCTTAAAAACTGATATAATGGGAGCAGAGAAAATGTAATTGTTGATAAAGATGTAGGGAAAATCCTATACAAATTTACGCAAAGTTTACATAGTGATACAGTAACACAGAAACATGGAACGCCTGGTCTTTGAGGAGCAGAGAAAATATTCAGATAAATGAGAGAGAGAGATGCAGAGGCGTAGCTGGGGTTAGTGCTGCCTCGAGGCGGCCACTGTCTTTTTGCCGCCTGATTCAACGAAAAAAAAAAAACTCTGCAGTTGGCCGAAAATGCAGTCATTCAATATTACAAGAGTGACCCCTTACCACCCCTTCCCACCCCCCTCGAAACGGAAGGCGACCTCCGCCCCGTCTTCATACAATGCGCTGGTGCCCGAAACAATAGTTCAACGAAATAAAGCTTAAATAATTTATTTGACTTACTCAGAGCAGCGGCTCCACGTGTCCCAACAGACGCCTATGGGGTTGGCTTGTGAGGTCTGCGGCATCAGTGCCGACACTGCAAGGACCAGGCAGACGACAGAGAGCTTCAGTACTGGACTCATGGTCGGATGTCCGAAATCAGGAATGGGATGTTCACTGAGAGTTGAGAGACACGTCGAGAAATGATCCACGTCAGAGAGCATCGCCGTTTTATAGGAAGAGCAGCAGGATGTCTTCATTTACCTTCCGGGACTCTTGCCACGTCTGTATTTTCTCGGGAAAATATAATGGTCACACGGAAAGGTGTCAAGCCATTAACCCATGGCACGTGGATGGCGTGATATGGACAGCAAGGACATGTCATTTAGTCTAAATCAAGGGTTCTCAAATGAGTGTCAATGGGTGCTGGAAGATCCAGGTTTATTACATTTTTATTATAATCCTTTTATCGTTTGGACGCGCAGAATAGGATTTTTAAATTGCGTTGAGGGTGCCGGGTTTGTTTTAAAATGTCGACAGGAGAAATCCCGGTTCAAAGGTTACATTTTTGAGTTGAACATTTTTCTAAATAAACATTTTTTTAATCAAGTCAACTTGTATGGATAATCCAGCATACTAGTAATGTTCCCAATTTATATATATATATATATATATATAAATATATATATATATAAAGTTTTTTGAAAATGAATGATATTCTTGTAGTTTCATTTTCGTTTATTATTGCGATTAATTTCACGCAATGCAAATTTATTTTAAAAAACTTTTACATAAAAATAATATGTTTTTTTTTTTTAAATAATTATATATATATATATATATATATAAATATATATATATATAAAGTTTTTTTAAAATGAATGATATTCTTGTAGTTTCATTTTCGTTTATTATTGCGATTAATTTCACGCAATGCAAATTTATTTTAAAAAACTTTTACATAAAAATAATATGTTTTTTTTTTTTAAATATACCCCCAATGCATAACCACTTTGCCAAATGAGTGGACTTCTAGCTACGACTGAGCCCGGTTCAATTTCGTACACGCCCGGTCCATATTTTGAGATCATACCTGTCAGGTCCGAATTCGGGTACATGTGATACAAAATCCAAAAGAGTTATCTTCTCATTTTCTATCATGTTTTTCACCCAGTGGGAAGAAATGAAATTACATCTATAGAAGAACCAGTAGCGATCACAAAGACATCATAAATTGTTATATATTCCTATTGTGTCGTGACTCTTTGATAACATTGACCGAGTTGTGGTGACCAACAACCAGGGTTTTTATGCACTAAAATTGAGAAAAAAATATTGAAAAGGTGTTGGGGGGGGGGCAGATAATTATAATAAATAAAGATAATAATAAAGAGAGAGAGATGTTGGTAAACATGTACATCGCGTGGGTCCTCGCATCTTTAAGGGGCCCAAAATTGTGATGTGTAAACTTTAAATTTCAAATCAAATAAAAATATCAACATTGAATGCAAGGGTTTGGGGGTTCGATTTGGAAAAGGGGGGGGGGGGGGGGGGGACAAAAATTCAGACAGGCCTCGAAACATCCATTGACGGCTTCGCCTGACCTGGTTCTGGGCATATAATTTTTTTTTTTTTTTT